AGATTTATTTTCTTACAGCTCTGGAGGTTGGAAAGTCCAAATCAAGGTGCCCACAAAGGCCAAGCACAGTGGCTCAGGCCTGTAATCCCAGCACTTTGGGAGGCCGAGGCGGGCAGATCATGAAGTCAGGAGTTCAATACCACCCTGACCAACATGGTGAAACCTTGTCTCTACTAAAAATACAAAAAAAAAAAAAATTAGCCAGGAGTGGTGGCACACTCCTCTAATCCCAGCTACTCAGGAGGCTGAGGCAAGAGAATCACTTGAACCTGGGAGGTGGAGGTTGCAGTGAGCCAAGATCGCACCACTGCACTCCAGCCTGGGTGACAGAGCAAGACTCCATCTCAAAAAAAAAAAAGTGCCCACAGAGTTAGTATCTGGTGAGGGTTATTGAATAAAAATTATAGAAGGCAGTTGTTTCGGACTAAGCTCCTGAACCAGGCCCAACAGACCAGACGAAACTCAGGCTGAGGTTTCACAACACTAAACTAAAACTAAATTGTTATCTAACGTTTGGAGAAATCAAAAACTTTCACCTCCACTGAGCAATAACAAGGCACCTTGCCCCTGCCTCTGAAATTGCAATGGAGATTGAATGGGGAACTTGGATGTTTATGCCCACCTGGCAGTAGAGGTGGCCCTCCCCTTCTTCCACCAGCATGGTATCAGAGGAAGCTTTTTAAAAGAAGATGGAAGTAAGATCCCAAGTCTCATAGTGATAGATGCAGGATGAGCTAAGGAAACCTTGCACAGGGTCTTGCCTGGGCATGCCTGCAACAGATTGGGGCTCATATATGCATCGGGAGAATGGGGCAGAGCCACCAAGAATTCAGGCCTTATGCAAGAGGAGAAGCCAGGCCTCTTTGGCTCCCGTGTGGTGACCTGGTATTCAGTCTGTGAGGTGATAACCTGTTGGATGGACCCTCTTTTTCTTTGTGGAGAGCTTTCTTTTCGCCTAATAAATCCATCTTCACCCTTCAATGTGTCTGCGTGCCTCATTTCCCTGGTTGTGAGACAAGAACCTAGATTTTAGCTGAACTAAGGAGCAAAAAGTCCTGCATCAATAGCATTATAACCAAAATGTCTAAGACAAAATAAAAGATCACATATTGTATGAGGAATTAGGAAAATCTCAACTTGAATGAGAAAATTTAATCAGCAGATGCCAACACTGAGATGACGCAGCTGTTGGAATTATCTGAGAAGGATTTTAAAGCAGCCACTATAAAAATAATTCAACAAGCAATTATGAACATGCTTAAAATAAATTAAAAACTTAAAAGTCTCAGCAAAGAAATAAAAGACATTAAGAAAAAATGAAAATTTTGAAAAATACAACTCAGGAGGCTGAGGTGGGAGAATCACATCTCTTTTTTTTTTTTTTTTTCTTTTTCTCCCCTCCCCAAAACCACATTTCTTAAAAAAACAACAACAAGGCTGGGCACAGTGTCTCACGCCTGTAATCCCAGCACTTTGGGAGGCTGAAGTGAGAGGATCTCTTGAGCTCAGGAGTTTGAGACTAGCCTGGGCAACATAGGGAGACCCTGTTTCTACAGAAATAAAATTTAGCCTGATATGGTGGTGCATGACTGTGGTCCCAGCTACTTGGGAGGCTAAAGTGGGAGGATGGCTTGGGCCTGGGAGGTTGAAGCTGCAGTGAGCCGTGATCATGCCACTGCACTCCAGCCTGGGTAACAGAGCAAGACCCTGTCCCAAAAAGAAGAACAACAACAACAATAAAAACTACTGAAATAAAAAGCTCAAGGTATGGGCTTAGCATCAGCGTGAAGACAGAGAAAGGAATCAATGGACTTGAAGACAGAACAGTAGAATTTACCCAGTCTGAACAACAGAGGGAAAAACAGACAAAAAAAAAAGAGGAAAAAAGAAATAACAGAATCTCAGAGTCTCAGCAACATGTGGGATTACAATAAAAGATCTAACATTCATGTCTTCAGAGTTCAGAACACTAAATACAAACCACAAGAGAAAAATAATACTTTACCTATTGAGGAAAACTAATTTGAATGAAGTAGATTTTTCATCTATGGCGATCAGAAGGAAATGATAGAACATTTTCAAGGGCTAAAATAAAAGAACTTTCAATCAAGAATTCTATATCCAGTGAAATTATCATTCAGGAATAAAGGAAAAATAAAGGGATTCTTAGACAATGTAAAACTACTAGAATTTGTCTCATCTGTAGATCTGCTCTAAAAGAATGGCTAGAGGAAATTCTCTAAATAGAATGCATAAAAGAAGGAATCTTGAAACATCGGGAAGGAAGAACAATGAAAAAAGCAAAAAACACAGGTAAATACAACAGAGTTTTCTTCTCATCTTGAGTTTTTTAAATGATGTTTAACAGTTTAAGCAAAGTGTAACAGTGCCTGACGTGATGTATATATGAGAAATATTTAAGGCAATGATGTTATAAGTGGCAAAGTGCAAAATGACTTAAAGGAAGGTAAGGTTTCTACATTTCCCCTGAACTGCCAAAATGTCATTACCAGTAGACCCCAGTAGACCTTTGTGGTACTGAAATAGTTTTGTATCTTAATTTTGGTGATGGTAACAGAAATCTATATGTGCTAAAGTAACATAACACTATACACACACATTATATCAACATTAATTTCCTGGTTTTGATATTATACTAAAGTCATGGAAAATATAACCTTTGGGGAAACTGGATGAAGGGTATATGGGACCTCTCTGTACTATCTTTGCAACTTATTGTAAATCTATAATTATTTCAAAATAAAAAATTTTTAAAACATGTTTTAAAGAATATTTATTGACATAGAGAAATGATCAAGAGATGATATTAAGTGAAAAAAGTAGGATATACAATATATTAGGCATAACCAAAAATCTATATGGAAAACCCACAAAATTAAAACTGAAACCTTACATGTCTCACTATGAATATAACAGACACTGTAAAGCACAAGGGTCAAGACCACGATGAGCTTTGAAGTCAGGCTGACCTGGGTCTGGTCCAGCTCTGTCACTTACATGCTGTGTGATCTCAAGGAAGGTGTTCAATCTTTTTAGGTCTCATTTGCAAAATGAAGATAATAATAACTCAGTTGTAACGATTACACAAGAAAGTGCATGTAATAACCTCAGTACACAATATGGCACATAAAAAGGGGTAAAAAGTGTTAGCTATTATTATTATACAAAAAAATGTAGTGTTAGCAGTGGCTTTTATTGGTGGTAAATTGTGGATTTAAAATTTTTTACTTCTTTACACTTTTATGTCTTTAAATTTCTATAATGAACCTATATTACCTTTTATGGAGATATAATTCACATATCATAAGATTAATATATTTTATAATTTTTTTTAGACATGAGGGTCTCACTGTGTTGCCCAGGTTGGTCCCAAACTCCTGGTCATAAGCAATCCTCTTGCCTCAGCCTCCCTAGTCATTGGCATAAGCCACCGCATCCGGCCTACTTTTGTAATGAAAAAAATAGGAAAATGTTCTAACTTGCCCACTTTTAGGGAAACTAATATAAGACAAATAGGCACGTCCCTTGCAAATAGGCAGTCCCTTGCAAAGAAATGTAAGTTATGTTTATTTCTGTATTAAAGAGATAAAGCTTTGACTTTTCATGAACCATTTTAATACCATCATTTGTTACTCTGTGTATTTTTCTTCCAGTAGCTTGTCTCATTTGTATCTGTGGAATTTTAATTCATGGAGGTAAATGAACGATGACATGGAGAGGCTAATGCCACTGAAAGAAGATTTTTATTACTTAAGACTTCCAAGTGAAGGAAGCATGCCACACCATGCAGGACCGCAGGGAAAGCACCAGGTTTGGGTCAAGAGGCAGAACAGAAAGGAGCAAAGGGACAGCCTAAGCCAGAATCCTTACTGGAGTTTCCAGAAATGCAAGCCACAACAGGCTAAACAGTTGAGGATTGGCTGGTTTGAATAATTCTGGCAGACTCTGAGGCACAAGGGCTATCTCTGGTTGTCTGGTACCTGGTCCTGGGTTGACTTAGACCAGGAGAAATATTAGCTCAGTGTGTGAGAATTAGTAAGGAGGTGGTTCATAGTATGGGTTCTGGATCACAGGGGAGATATAAACAACTCTGGCCATTAGTTTGGCCTTGTGAGTAATGGATGACAAATAGACAAACACAGAATCTAAGAAAACACAGTTAGAACATAACTCAGGTAGAATTTGCCAAATTCTTATCTATACAATAGTCATTTAAAAAAGAATTCCAGAGATACCTCATATAGAACTTTGAAACTGTATATAGTGCATAATCTTCACCTTCAGTCATGCAAAGGTATATGAAAAGAGAAACAGAAAGTTACCTTGACTCTGGAACTCATCAGAGAAAAACAAGGGGAAATGGAGAAACATGAAAAAATATACAAGTAAGCTGTGGAAGACTTAGGACTCTGGTACCATTAAATTGCTTATTTCACTTATTCCATTACAATAGAATCATACTTTTTCATATGCAATATTATGTAGACTTTGAAACAAAACTGACTGAATACAAATTTCCCCGGTTTTACTAATTGTGAAACAGTGTGCAAGTTATTTAACCTTCCTACATCTTGGTGTTTTCATCTGTAAAAGTGGAGGAAAGGGTTACTGAGAGGGTTCACCAAGTTCATGTATGATGCCTGGCCCATAAGAAAGTTTTTGTAAGTTTTAGATCTCATTATTGTTTGAATAAGCAGATTTCACTGAATATAAGATGCTGGTTTTTCTTGATCTTACCAGAAGACGTCAGTGGTAGTATTTTATACTCTCACATCATGCGTGATACTGATTGAAAGAAATTGTAAAATATAACCTCATTTCAGAGGAGTTGAAATATTTTAAAGTACATATTTTAGAATGTATAAAATAAGTTTTGTGTGTTCATTTAATACTAATTTAATGATGTGTGACAGCCACCAACAGAAAATCGAAACTGGCAAAATAATTCAATTCAAATATTAAATAATGTAACTTCTTACTTCTGTAAATTCCATTTTGTTCAATCTTGGTTCTGTTGAGTCAGTAATATCCAATTGTTCGCAGTGTGATCCTATTTATGGAATGAAGATTATTTGCTAGTTAGTTTGGTTGTAATATATATTTGATATTTATACTATAGTGCTTTAAAAGAGCATAAAATTATGTATTAGCTAATGTCTATCCATAACTACAATAAAGTGAACTACATATAGCTGGGTAACATACCAAATACTACAAAATTTTTACTTTTCCTGGCTTAACAAGCAAACCAAATATTTTTAAAAAGTCTATATTTTTAATATCTAGATTGATATAAAGCAGAAATAAATATGCACATCAATAGTATAAAAGGCTATAAAAACATCTGTGTTGGTTTACACTAGCAGGACCTAAAACAAAACACTTCTGCAAGCTTTCTTTTTAAAAACTTTATTTTGTCTTTAATGTTCCTTAAATTAAATAATGCATAAAATGTTCTAATTCAAATAATACAAAAATATAAGCAACAAAACATGAATATCTTCCTTTTTGGCTACCTCCCATCAGCACTCTCACTCCTCTCTGCCCCAGATGTAACCACTGTCAGCAGTTTATCATCCTTCCAGCAACCTTTCTATGCATTTCTGTATGTATATAAATGCATATATATGCGCACGTGTACCTTTTGTCTTTCTGTTTATAAATATGATCATTTTGATGTGCAACTTGCTTTTTCATTTACCACTCATAGTAGCTTTTTTTCAAATAGGACCTGGGGCTCAGGGAAAGTTTGCAATGTGTATATAGATTGGGAGTCATCAGCTGCAGCCATGGACTTGAATAAGAAAACCCAGAGAATGTGTATAGTGTGTATAGTGATAAGAAAGCCTAAAAGGAAACTCTGGAAAACAAAAGTTAAGGTGCAAGCAAAAGAAGAGTCAAGAAACAAAAACACTAAAAGGTGATCAAAAATAGAAGAAAGAAATCAAGAGAATGATATCACAAAAAAACAAGAGAAGAGTTTCATAAATTAGAGTGATCAATAATGAAGAATGTGACAGTTAGTTCAAATACAGATTTTTAAACCTTCATTTGATACAACAACTTATGTAATCATTATTGACCATACTAAGAGAAAAATTCATAAATTGTGTGAAAGCTTATGATGAAAGAACTATACACTGGCTTCCTCTCCTACTTCTAATAGTAATTCTTCCTGCCTATCATGGGTTGGCACAAGGGCATAGAAAAGATTTTTCAATCACTCTTGAATTTGGTAAGTGCTAATTATGAGATATCAGTTATTATGGCCATAGGAGGACTATATACATTTTCATATGAGCTTATGCATTAGAAGCTGACATTTCCATCCCAGACCTTCCCCCAAGCTCCAGATGATTATGCAAACCAGACTGGTCTCTAGCAGTAACAATTGCTATTAAGTATATATGTCTGTCTCTGACTGGAGTTTGAGCAACTTAAGGGCAGGAAACATGTCTTGTCAGTCCTCTTTGCATTCTCTAACTCATTACAGTATCTGGAACTAAGTGAGGGCTCAATGACTATTGACCAAATGAATAGTAGAGAAAATAAATACTGTAGTATAGGAGGTGAGAGAAGAAACAATCACTGTCAATTGGAATGCTCTGGAATTTCTGTAATTTTATCAGGATCCCACATTGAGTTCTCTTAACTCACTCCTTCTGTACCCTCATTTGAAAATAAATGAAGTTATTTCAATGATTTTTTGAAACAAGAGTAAAGGATGAGCTGACTGAAGAATTACGTTTTTTGGAAAATGTGAGAACAGGTAGAAGGAGAAAAGGTTGTCAGTAAGGCCCAAATCATGCTTGGAGATCAGTGATCAGGAAGATGGGAAGCATATTTTATTTTTAAAAGTGACAGCAGACTTCAGACAATGTATTGTTGTCAATGTAACAAAAGTAGTCAAATAATCAATTGGGAAAAAAAATCTATTGGATATAAATTATGTAAATCTCAGGACCCAAACTCTAGTTTCTATGGGACAAGTGAGGGTTTTTTTTGTTTTTTTTTTCCACCTAATTTCATATAGGGAAATCTTTCTGAAAACAAAAGCATCAAAATCTGTGAATCTCCATAGGGGTGGTGCTGTCCTCCCTTCCTCCCAGGCAGCATGGTGGAAATTTTTGGGTGAGTTTTTATTGCCACAATGATGAGGAATAGGAGCAGAGGCAGAACTCCTGTAATTTCTGCACAATACAGACTTTCCCCCTCCTGCAGGACATTCGAGTAGATGAAAAACCTGCTTATAATAATTTTGAACCTAGAACCCAGTTCTATTTTACATATGAATGCAGAATATAATTTTGCTGTGGAATTTTCCAAAAATGTAACTTCTATGAAAATTTGAGGGAGAATTATATACTTTGTTTAATTCTGGAACTTTACCTAGAGTTGTTTGCGGTTTCAGAAATTGTGTAATAGGGAGTAACATAAATTGTATCTGAATTGTAATACAACACACTTGTATCAGTCTGCATTTCTGGGAATTCTATGTATATATATTCATTTTGCCCTATTCCAAAATGTCAAATACAAATAAAATGGTCAACCGTATATAATTTTACTTTTCTTATATCTAAAGGTACATTATAAGTAGGTAGAAATGTCTGATTATCATGTCTTATAGTGAAGTTATAACAAAGCATTTATATATTGAAACACAGTGCATATAATTTTCTTTCTTTTCTTTTATTTTTTTTTAGAAGGAGTCTCGCTCTGTCACCCAGGCTGCAGTGCAGTGGCATGATCTCGGCTCACTGCAACCTCCACCTCCTGGGTTCAAGTGATTCTCCTGCCTCAGCCTCTCGAGTAGCTGAGATTACAGACGCCCGCCACCATACCCGGCTAATTTTTGTATTTTAGTAGAGACAGGCTTTCACTATGTTGGCCAGGCTGGTCTCAAACTCCTGACCTCAAATGATCCGCCCACCTTGGCCTCCCACAGTGATGGGATTACAGGCATGAGCCTCTATGCCTGGCCTCTGAAGAAGTCTTAAGCCTAGTATATATAGTAACAGAACTGGATGAGATTATCCAGGGAAATTTATGTAACATGGAAAGGGAACTCAAGAAACAACATTGGAGAAACAGAGAATGACTCCAGGAGGGTTATAGGTAAGGTGTAGGATATGAGTGGGTAGAGTCAAGGAAATTCAAACTAAGGAGTTTACAGAGGCAATGTTCAACTCTGGTAAATCTTAGCATGAGCCACTGCAACCAGTGCATACAATTTTCTTATGCCTTTCCTTATATTTCTCCTTTATATCACAGTATGACATCTTATCTTTCTTTTACAATTCTGTATATGTAAGGAATATTTTCTAGGAATGTCATAGGATAATAAAAGAGTATTGCAGAGTACTGGTAATAAAATGGACACCAGACTAAAAGGGCTGAGAATAACAGATTGCGTTTCTGCTTTTATACATTCTCTATCTGGACAGCATGGAAGAGGCTAATTGCACCTGCAAGAGCTTTGAATTACATCTGTCTCATGTTGACTCTTCATCTGAATTCAGTGTCCCCCACCCAAAAAAGAAATAAAAATAAAAATATCAGAGTAATAGGCAGACTTACCTAGCTTGAAATCTGGATTTTGAAAGAATTCATGAAGAACATTCTGAATCTGCAAATCAAAAGAGGAAAAAAAGAAAGAAACCATATGCCACTCCTCAGTTACCACATATTTGTTATTTTAGACTAAAAACCATCTATAGTCTTTCTATTTTAGTATTGGGTGATCTTTCCAACCCAAGGACAGAAATAGTAGTAAGTCACATGTACTTTCTACAAGGGGGTCTTCAAAAAGTTCATGGAAAATGTGTATTATGAAAAAAATATGCATGGATTTCAATTTTTTTTTTTTTGCACCAAAATAAACTTGTTGAAACTTGTTATGTCTGAACAAGATCTAGCTTGAAGAACTAAAAAGGATAAGACATCAGTTCGAAAAGAGCCCCTATCAGAGCAACATGAATTCTGCTAAAATTGAAGCAAAAACATTAAATTTATGGTGAAGCTTGGCGGGAAAAATGCTGAAATCACTGGTGTTTTATGAAGTGTTTATGGGGACGATGCTCCAAAGAAATCAGCAGTTTACAAATGGATAGTTCATTTTAAGAAAGGATGAAATGATGTTGAAGATAAAGCCCATAGCGCAGACTATCCACACCAATTTGCAAGAAAAAAAAATCATCTTGCTCATGACCTTATTGAAGAGGACTAAAAGTTAACAGCAGGAGCAATAGCCAACACATAGACATCTCAATTGGCTCTGCTTACACAATTCTGACTGAAAAATTAAAGTTGAAAGAATTTCCAGTCAGTGGGTGCCAAAACCATTGCACCCAGACCAGATGCAGACAAGAGCAGAGCTTCAAATGGAAATTTTAAACAAGTGGGATGAAGATCCTGAAGCATTTCTTCCAAGAATTGTAACAGGAGATGAAACATGGCTTTACCAGTATGATCCTGAAGACAAAGCACAATCAAAGCAATGGCTGGTTACCAAGAGGTGGAAGAGGTCCTGTCAAAGCAAAAGCAGACTGATCAAGAGCAAAAGTCATGGCAATAGTTTTGGGGATGCTCAAGGCATTTTGCTAATTAACTTTCTGGAAGACCAAAGAACAATAACATCTGTTTACTATGAGAGTGTTCTGAGAAAGGCTAGCTAAAGCTTTAGCAAAAAAAATGTCTGGGAAAGCTTCACCAGAGAGTCCTTCTCCACCATAACAATGCTCTTGCTCATTCTTCTCATCAAACAAGGGCAAGCTGGGCACAGTGGCACACACCTGTAGTCCCAGCTACTCAGGAGGCTAAGGTAGAAGAACTGTGAGTTTGTGCCAACCTGGACAAAATAGCAACACCCATCTCCACTAACAAAACAAGAACAATGTTGTGAGAGTTTCAATGAGAAATCATTAGGCATCCACCTTATAGTCCTGATTTAGCTCCTTCTGATTTTTTATTTTCTAATCTTAAAAAAAATCATTAAAGGACACCTATTTTTCATCAGTTAATAATGAAAAAAAGACTGCATTGAAATGATTAAATTCTGAGAACCCTCAGCTCTTTAGGGATGGACTAAATGGCTGGTATCATCACTTACAAGTGCCTTAAACTTGATGGGGCCTCTTTTTATTTATTTATTTGCCATTTAAAAAGTAATGGCAAAAACCACAATTACTTCTGCACCAAGCTAATATTTGAGACAGGGTTTCACCATGTTGGCCAGGCTGGTCTCGCGCTCATGGGCACAAGCGATCCTCCTGCCTCAGCCTCCCAAAGTGCTGGGTTTACAGGCCTGAGCCATGGCGCCCAGCCCGATGGAGCTTATATTGAGATATAAAGTTTATATTTTTTATTATCTTTTAATTCAATTTTTCCACACACTTTTTGAAGTCTCCTCTTAGAATACTGAAGGGTATATAAAGTTATTTTACACATATATTCTCAATGATTCCCAACCTTTTGTGTGATTAGGACTGGGATGCTGACAGTGACCCCATTTTGCCCCCTCCAGGGGATATTTCTAGCAACTCTCAGACACGGCACGATGGAGCTAAGGCACTTTTGGCAAGCACTTTGGCCATCCGAAGAATCCTCTATACTTTCTCGTTCTTCAATTACTAAAAATGAAATTTCAGAGTTCTTCTTGGTCCATTTTTAAAAACATTTTATATTTTAGAGAAGTTTTAAGTGCACAGCAAAATTGAGCGGAAAGTACAAAGAGCTCACACACATATACTATACACATACACAGCTATGTACTATTATTAATATCCTGCACCAGAGTGGCACATTTATTACAGTCAATAAAGCTACATTGACATGTCATTATCGCCCAAAGTCCATAGTTTATAATAGGGGTCTCTCTTGGTATGGGCTTTGACAAAGTATAATCACATATATCCACCATTATAGCATTATACAGAATTATTTCACTCCGCTAAAAATCCCTCCCTCCCCTCATTCCTGGCAACCACTGATCTTTTTACTATCTTTCTGATTGTGTCTTTTCTAGAATTTCAAATAGTTAGGATCATACGGCATGTAGCCTTTTCAGATTGGCTTCTTTTACTTAGTAATACGCATTGATGGTTTCTCCTTGCTTTTTCACGGCTTGATAGATCATTTCTTTTTAGGACTGAATAATATTCCACTGTATAGATGCACCACATTATTATCTATTCCTCCAGTAAAGGGTTTCTTAGTTGCTTTCTGGTTTTGGATATTATGAATATGGCTACTATAAACATCTGCGTGCAGGTTTCTGTGTACATATAAGTTTTCAATTTATTTAGGTAAATACTAAGGAGAGCAATTGCTGGATCATAGGTTAAGAGTGTGTTTAGTTTAGTTTATGTGTGGTAAAAAACACGTAACATAAAATTTACCAACTTAACCATTCTTAAGTGTATGTATATATGTGTAAACATAGTCACAAATCTCCAGAAGTTTTTCTCTCTTTCTTTCTTTCTTTCTTTCTCTCTCTCTCTTCCTTCCTTCCTTCCTTCCTTCCTTTCCTTTCTCTGTCTCTCTCTCTCTCTCTTTCTCTCTTTCTTTCTTTCTCTTTCTCTCTCTTTCTTTCTCTCTCTCTCTCTCTGTCTCTTTTTTTAGACAGGGTCTCTGTTACCCAGGCTGGAGTGCAGTGGCACCATCATAGCTCACTGCAGGCTCAAACTTCAGGACTCAAGTTATCTCCTGCCTCAGCCCCCAAGTAGCTGGGACTATAGGCGTATGCCATCATGTCCAGGTAATTTTTAAAATTTTTTGTAGAGACAGGGTCCCACTATATTGCCCAGGCTGGTCTTGATCTCCTGGGTTCAAGCAATCCTCCTGCCTCAGCCTCCAGAATGCTGGGATTATAGGCGTGAGCTACTGCGCCCAGCCAGAAGTTTTTCATTTGGCAAACTTGAAACTCTATATCCATTAAACCAGCAGTCCCCATTGTTTTTAGCACAAGGGACTGGTTTTGTGGAAGACATTTTTTCCACAGACCCAGGGGTTGGGGGAGGATGGTTTCGGGATGATTCAAGCGCATTACATTTATTGTGTATTTGTTTCTATTATTATTACATTATAGATTATGAGCCATTATACGGCTCACCACAATGTAGAATCAGTGGGAGTCCTGAGCTAGTTTTCCTGCAATTAGATGGTCCCATCTGGGGGTGATGGAAAATAGTGACAGATCATCAGCCATTAGATTCTCATAAGGAGCATGAAATCCAGATCCTCGCGTGCACATTTCACAATAGGGTTCCTATTGTGCTCCTATGAGAATCTAATGCAGCCACTGATTTGACAGAAGGTGGAGCTCAAGTGGTAATGAGAGTGATGAGGAGTGACTGCAAATACAGATGAAGCTTTCCTTGCTTGCTTGACTGCCACTCGCATCCTGCTATATGGCCCACCTCCTACCAGGCCACAAGGGGTTGGGGACCCCTGAATTAAATAACTCCCCTTCCCCTCCTCCAAGTCCCTGGCAACCACCATTCTACATTCTGTTTCTATGAATGTGACTACTTTAGATACCTCGTATAAGTGGAATAATTCAGTATTTGTCTTTTAAGAGTATGTTTAAGAAACTGCCAAACTGTCTGTCAAAGAGTCTGTACCATTTTGCATTCCCATCAGCAAAGAATGAGAATTATTGCTGCTTCACATTCTTACCAGCATTTGGAGTTGCCCGTGTTTTGGATTTTGACCATTCTAAATGGTGTGTGCGGTATCTCATTGAAGTTTTAATTTGCATTTCCCTAATGACATGTGATGTCTGGCATCTTTTCATATGCTTTCAAATAAGATTTGCCATATGTACACTTTCTTTTGTGAACCAGGCTGTTTGTTTTCTTATTGTTCAGCCTTTAAGAGTTCTTTGTATATTCTGGATAACAGTCATTTATCAGATATATATACGTGACATATATATGTGATATATAGATATATAGATATATATAGATATATAGATATATTTTGTTGTTGTTGTTGTTTTGTTTTTAAGAGACAGGGTCTCTTTCTGTTCCCCAGGCTGGAGTGCAGTGGCATGATCATGGCTCAGTGCAGCTTCGACCTCCTGGACTCAAGCAATCCTCCCACCTCAGCCACCTGAGAAGCTGGAACCACAGCCTGGATAATTTTTAAATTTTTTTTGTCAAAACCGGGTCTCCCTATGTTAGCTAGGCTGGTCTCAAATTCCTGGCCTCAAGCAATCCTCCCACTTCGGCCTCCAAAAGTCCTGGGATTATAGGTGTGAGCCACCACACCCAACCAGATATGCCTTCTGCTAATATTTTCTCCCAGTCTGTGACTTGTCTTCCCTGATCTATTTTTAATCATTCACTTTAAACTGAAAATATGCTTAGCATTGTATCTAATGAAAAAGTATTTCCAAATCCGTATACACTTAAGAGAAAGCATTTAACTCTCAGAGTATGGCTGTTCTCTAAAGCTAAGAGACAGTCTTGCAGGCCTCACTGAAGTAGTCACACATAAAAACACACACACAAAAAACAAAGAAATGAAATATATTTCGGTTTACAATGATGAGTTTGGGAACCTCAGCCAGAGTCAAGATTTTAGAAATCTAGCTAGAATTTTTTTTTTTTTTTTTAATGTAATGCTCAAGATAAATTGAAGGAATCAATCTCATGGACCAGACAGGTCAAGACTTACCTCAGCGGCCGGGCGCGGTGGCTCAAGCCTGTAATCCCAGCACTTTGGGAGGCCGAGACGGGTGGATCACGAGGTCAGGAGATCGAGACCATCCTGGCTAACACAGTGAAACCCCGTCTCTACTAAAAAATACAAAAAAACTAGCCGGGCGAGGTGGTGGGCGCCTGTAGTCCCAGCTACTCGGGAGGCTGAGGCAGGAGAATGGCCTGAACCCGGGAGGCGGAGCTTGCAGTGAGCTGAGATCCGGCCACTGCACTCCAGCAAGGGGGACAGAGTGAGACTCCGTCTCAAAAAAAAAAAAAAAAAAAAAAAAAAAAAAAAAAAGACTTACCTCAGCAATACTGAAAATTTCAAGGGAGGCTTCTAGTATGCTACTCAGTATTCTAGCAATTGCCCTCTTACCACTTACCCAACCTACCTTTCACATATACCCCCAATTTTCTTACCACTGTCTTAGGAATCATTCCTTTAGGGTCTAGAATCCATTCATCAAATTGCTCCTGCAGAGCCTGTTTCCGTGTGTTGGCCACCTTGACTTTGATTTTGTCTATGTGTTCTCTTTGTTTTCTATTCTGTTTAACATTCTCCTTCATCTTGGATACTCTGCAGGACGTAGATATAGGAAACATGTTGAGTTAATACCCTTGGATTTGATCCAGATTGGAACACAGGAATTCAGACTCTCTTTGAAAATGTTTGCCTGTCTTTTCTCCATAAAATCTATGATTCAGACCTGTAGTGAACTCTTCTTCCACAAGCACTTATTGAATTTGGCATTAATCACAGAGTACTTTCTACTATTTGACTTTTTATAGAGGTAGGCCTTATTTTACCCAACTAAATACTAGACTTAAGAAGTATTGGTAGGAATGTAAATTAGTACGACCATTGTGGAAAATGGTAGGGAGGTTACTTAAAAAACTGAAAACAAAATTACTACATGATCCAGCAATCTTATGTCTGCATATTTACCAAAAAGATTTGATATCAGTTTGTCAAAGAGATGGCTGCACTTCCATGTTTACTGTGGCACTCTTCACAATAGCCAAGTGATAGAACCAACCTAAGCGTCCTCCAACAGACAAATGGATAGAGGAAATGTGGTTTACAAATACAATGGAGGGGCCAGGCGCGGTGGCTCACGCCTGTAATCCCAGCACTTTGGGAGGCTGAGGTGGGCGGATCACGAGGTCAGGAGATCGAGACCATCCTGGCTAACATGGTGAAACCCCATCTCTACTAAAAATACAAAAATTAGCTAGGCGTGGTGGCACACGCCTGTAGTCCCAGCTACTCGGGAGGCTGAGGCAGGAGAATGGCATGAACCCAGGAGGCAGAGCTTGTAGTGAGCCGAGACTGCACCAGCCTGGGTGACAGAACAAGACTCTGTCTCAAAATAAATAAATAAATAAATAAACAATAAAATAAATAAAAATAATATTAATAAAAATAAATAAATAACTACAATGAAATACTATACAGCCTTAAAAAAGGAGGAAATTCTGTCATTTCTGACAGCATGAATGGAATTGGAGAACATTATGCTAAGTGAAAAAAGACAGGCACAGAAAGACAAATACCACAAGTTCTCACTTATTTGTGCAATATAAAACAAACAAGCGCATAGAAGCAGAGAGTAGAATGGTGGTTACAGAGGCTGGGAATGGGGGAAATGGAGAGATGATTGTCAAAGGGTATAAAATCTCATTTACACAAGATGAATAAGTTTTATTGTACATTTCAAAATTGCTGAGAGTAAATTTCAAATGTTCTCACCACAAAAAAAGGATATGTATTTGAGGTGATAGATATGCTAATTTGTTTGATTTCATTGTTTCACATTGTATGCACAAATTATAACACCACTTTGACCTTGTAAATGTATATAATTATAAGATATTGATTTACAACTTATAAAACAGGAAGTAAAAACAGCTCTAGAAGCTGCTATATATACTGAAAAGACAAGGTTGGATGCAGTAAGGCCTTACGGTAGTGAACTTCTCTCTTTCCTGGACACAGAAATCATCTGAAGGGATTGATTTCAGGTGTTAGGAACAGGTCCCCAAATCTGGCCATAAACTGGCCCCAAAACTGGCCATAAGCAAAATCTCTGCAGCACTGTGACATGTTCATGATGGCCATGACACCCACGCTGAAGGTTGTGGGTTTACCAGAATGAGGGCAAGGAAACCTGGCCCACCCAGTGCAGAAAACCACTTAAGGCATTCCTAAGCCACAAACAATAGCATGAGTGATCTGTGCCTTAAGGACATGTTCCTGCTGCAGATAACTAGCCAGAGCCCATCCCTTTGTTTCCCATTTTAGTTAATCTATAATCTATAGAAGCAATGTTTATCACTGACTTGCTGTCAATAAATAAGTGGGTAAAACTCTGTTCCAGGCTCTCAGCTCTGAAGACTGTCAGCCCCCTGATTTCCCACTCCACACTCTATATTTTTGTATGTGTGTGTCTTTAATTCCTCTAGCGCCGCTGGGTTAGGGTCTCCATGACTGAGCTGGTCTTGGTAAATGGCGCGCATACATGGGGCTGGAACCCGGGTTGAAGGGTTGCTGGAGCGACAGTTGAAGAATGTGGAACTAAGCTGGAGGACACCTGAGTACTCTTAAGCAATCCCCATGGTGAATAAGAAGGGGAGCTCGGAAGCATCAGGGTAACAATGGGACAAGTGTGGGCCCTGGTTCATTCCACCTTGGAACCTTTTCACACTGATGATGAGGAGGAAGGAAAGTATAAAGAAGTAACAGGGCCGGGCGCAGTGGCTCACTCCTGTAATCCCAGCACTTTGGGAGGCCGAGGCGGGCGGATCACAAGGTCAGGAGATTGAGACCATCCTGGCTAACACAGTGAAACCCCGCCTCTACTAAAAATACAAAAAATTAGCCGGGCAAGGTGGCGGGCGCCTGTAGCCCCAGCCACTTGGGACACTGAGGCAGGAGAATGGCATGAACCTGGGAGGCGGAGCTTGCAGTGAGCCGAGATCGCACCACTGCACTCCAGCCTGGGAGACAGAGAATCCATCTCAAAAAAAAAAAAAAAAAAAAGAAGTAACAGAAGAGGTGACAGAGCAGTTTTGTTGGCCAGCTAAAGCTAAAGCAGCAAAGGAGGGAGAGGTTTGTTCCTATCTTTCCACATCCCCTCATTATTGTGAAGAAAAAGAGTGGCCTGACCCTCCAGATGTTTCTTTTCTGGAGGACACTGGGCAAAAAGTAGTTGCCCCACTGACTGTTCGAGCAGTGGCTTGAGCGACCACTCTCAGTTCTATTCAGGCAGGAATTCAGCAAGCTAGAAGAGAGGGTGATTTAGAGGCCTGGCAGTTCCCTGTTAGGATACACCCCCGAGATCATCAGGGAGATATAGCTACATTTGAGCCTTTTCCTTTTTAATAACTCAAAGAATTTAAACTAGCTATTAATCAATATGGACCAGGTTCTCCTTTTGTAATGGGACTGTTAAAGAAGGTTGCTGTCTCCAGTCAGATGTTGCCAGTGGGGACAATAGGATTACTTCTAGGCAGGTCTAGATTAAAATTTAAAAGGAGTGCAAGTACATACAGGAGTCATTGATTCAGATTACCATGGGGAAATTCAAATTGTTATATCTACTTCTGTTCCCTGGAAAGCAGAGCCAGGAGAGCGTATAGCACAGCTCCTGATTGTGCCATATGTGGAAATGGGGAAAAATGAAATTAAATGAACAGGAGGATTTGGAAGCACAAATAAACAAGGCAAAGCAGCTTACTGGGTGAATCAAATTACTGATAAACGTCCTATAACTATCCAGGGAAAGAAATTTAAAGGTTTGGTAGATACGGGAGTGAACAATTCAATCATTTCTCTACAGCACTGGCTGTCCACATGGTCAATTCAACCCACTCAATTTAACATAGTTGGAGTTGGTAAAGCCCCTGAAATGTATCAAAGTAGTTATATTTTGCCTTGTGAAGGGCCCAATGGACAACCTGGGACTATTCAATCAATTATAACTTCTGTACCTATAAATTTATGGGGAAGAGATTTATTACAACAATGGGGAGCACAAGTTCTAATTCCAGAGCAATTATATAGCCCACAAAGTCAACATATAGTGTATGAAATGGGGTATGTCCCTGGTGTAGAACTAGGAAAAAAATTGCAAGGTTTCAAGGAACTGCTTCAAGCGGAAAGACAAAGTTCCCACCAAGGTTTAGGATATCATTTTTTATGGTGGCCATTGTTAAGCCTCCAGAATCTATACCTTTAAAATGATTAACAGATAAGCCAATTTGGATAGAACAATGGCCACTAAGTAAAGAGAAACTGGAGGCTTTGGAGGACTTAGTTACTGAACAATTAGAAAAAGGACACATAGCTCCAACATTTTCCCCTTGGAATTCTCCAGTTTTCATAATTAAGAAAAAATCAGGTAAATAGAGAATGTTGATTGACTTAAGAGCCATTAATTCAGTTATACAACCTATGGGGACATTGCAGCCAGGACTGCCTTCTTCTGCTATGATTCCAAAACATAGGCCTTTAATAGTCATAGATTTAAAAGACTATTTCTTTACTATCCCCTTAGCTGAGCCAGACTGTGAACAGTTTGCATTTACAATTCCTGTGGTAAACAACCTGCAGCCTGCTAAACGTTTTCATTGGAAAGTGTTACCATGAGGCATGTTGAACAGTCCAACAATTTGCCAAACGTATGTAGGGCAAGCAATTGAACCTACTCATAAAAAATTTTCACAGTGTTACATTATTCATTATATGGATGATATATTTTGTGCTGCCCCTACTCAAGAAATATTACTCCAATGTTATGATCACTTGGAAAACTTGATTTCTTGTGCCAGTTTAATTATAGCTCCTGACAAAATTCAGACTTACTCCTACTTGGGGACCTTAGTAAATGACACTACAATAGTGTCACAGAAAGTAACCACATGTAGGGATCAATTGAAAACATTAAATGACTTTCAAAAATTACTAGGGGACATTAATTGGATACGACCTGCTCTAGGCATTCCTACTTATGCTATAAGTAATCTATTTTCTATCCTTAGAGGAGATCCTAGTCTCACTAGCCCTCGGCAATTAACAAAGAAGGCTAAGGCAGAGTTACAGCTGATTGAAAAGCAAGTCCATAAGGCGCAAATAAATGGAATAGATTCAGAGAAGACTCTAGATTTGCTAATTTTTTCGACTCAGCATTCGCCTGCTGGTGTTATTGTTCAAGAGCAAGATCTTATAGAGTGGCTTTTTCTTCCACATACTGATTCACAGACTCTAACTCCTTATTTGGATCAAATTGCCACTATGATAGGAAATGGGAGAACTCGGATTGTTAAATTACACGGATATGATCCTGGGAAAGTTATTGTCCCTCTCATGAAGGCACAAATACAGCAAATACAGTAAGCTTTTATAAATAGTGTCTTACTTGTCAAATCCATTTAGCTGAATTTGTGAGTATTCTCGATAACCATTTTCCTAACACAAATTGTTTCAATTTTTGAAATTAACTAATTGGATTCTCCCTAAAATAACTAAATTTAAACCAACTGAAGATGCTGAGAATGTTTTTACAGATGGGTCTAGTA